AGTTGAGTTGTCTTGCTTGTCTTTGTAGTTTCAGGCACAAAATCAACAACTATAATCTAAGCAAATGTGACGTGTGCGTATTGTAATTTACTGGCAATGGCATGATTTTGTCCCAGACTGAGAAACACAGCCACAGAAAAGATCACTCAGAGCCAAAGTTGGCAAAATTTCACCATCACACCACCACCCACCAAAGTGGTTTGGACCTGATGCCTGATATATGTATATCAAAGCTCATCCCTTGTGTCACATTCTGCAGGTAACAAAGGAAGGTGATGGAACTATCAGTAATTTAACTGGTATGTCGAAGGGTAGTTGTGGAGTTGTGAATTCGGTGCCCAGTGCTCGGGATGCAGCAACTAAACGACTTTTAGAGAGAGAAATTCATAAGTATATTAACTTTTGCGGGACTATTGGGCTTTAGATTGGACCTAAGTAATGAGCAAAGTCTGGTCTATCTTTTGGTGGTTTGGGCTCAACCCATAAACCGGGTCTAAGCCTAGTTTGAATCTAGGCTCATCAATAGTTTTTTTTTTTGGGAAAGTAGCTCATAATTATAGTTGAATTTGCTTCAAAGCATGGCAAACAGATGATGGTAGAATAGTTATTTACAACAAATTAAAGTTGACTCTACACCAACCATACAAATTAAAACACTGATGGATTTGGTATTACCCTTGTGAAAGATGTCAATTCATGTGGTAACAATGAAGTGTCTAATTATTGGTGTTTACTTGTTGTCGAAATGGCAGACATATAATGTTTTCTGCTCTGCCAAATGGGAGATTTATTGGTTGGTAATGTAAAGATCTTCTTTCCTTTTTAATATTTGGTGTGATGAGCAAAGGCTTGTTAAATATTATTCTATTCTACGTGCTTGTACACCCACAACATTATTAACTTCATTATTATTCTATTCAATTCAATTCATGACATAAGGATTGAGTAAGTCCAATATACCCCTACTGTTAGCTCAAGAGGTAATTAACCAATGACGACCCCACCCCAC